CCTCAGCCTGGAGCAACATCACTGCAACCTGGGGTCCCATCACTGCAACTTGGGGCATGATCACCTCGTCTTGGGGCCTCATGGCCTTAGGAAGAGTCCCAGCTCTCTGCCCCATTCCCACGGAGGAAAGAAGGGCAGGAGGGGACTGATGCCTGTATCAGAAGTAGCTGGCCAGCAGGACCAGGAAAGTAATTCTTCCCCTGAACTTGACACTGGTAAGGCCACTACCTGAGAACTATGTCCAGTTCTGTACCTCTCAATTGAGGTAGGACATTGAAACACTGGAGCAAGTTCAGAGAAGGGAAATGAAGCTGGTGAAAGGTCTGGAGCATAGGTCTTAGGAGGAAGAGTTGAGGCAACTGGGGTTATTTAGCCTGGAAAAGAGAAGGCTCAGCGGAGACCTTATCACTGAAAGGAGGCTGTAGCCAGGTGGCGATTGGTCTCTTCTCCCAGGCAACCAGTGACAGGAATAAAGGACACAGCCTTAAGATACGCCATGGGACGCTTAGTTTGGACATTAGGAGGAATTTCTTCACAGAAAGGGTGATCAGATATTGGAACAGGCTGCTCAGGAAGGTGTGGAGCCACGGTCCCTGGAGGCGTTTGAGGAAAGACTGGACGTGGCACTTAGTGCTGTGGTCTGGTTGACACGGCGGTGTTCGGTCAGAGATTGCAGTCGATTATTTCAGAAGTCTCTTCCAGCCTTGTTCCTGTGATTCGCGGACAGCCCATGCCGAAGGGGCCCCTCCCATGGGCGGTCCCGGCTCCCTTCCCGCCCCGCTGAGGCGCCGCCTCTCCCCGCCCGGCGGCGCGCGGGGCCGGGGCTGCGCAGGAGCGGGGCGGCAGCGAGGGAGCGGCCTCAGCGCTGCGCAGCTCCCGCCTCCCCGGCGCTCTGCTCGCTCTCCTCCCGTGCCTGTGAGTATCCGCCCGGCTGCCTGCGCGGTTACCACAACAAAGCCGCGAGAAGCGGGGGCCAAGGGGGACACGGCAGCGGCCGCTGCTGCTGCTGCTCCGTCCCGGGGTGCCGGCCGGGTGGTGGGGCCTGCGGTGCCTCCCCGCCACGGAAGGTGCCGGCAGGGCGGTTGGGGGCGGTTGGAGACGACGGGCATGTTCCTCCCCCGTCTGCGGTAATTTTTTTCCCGAAACAAGGTGGGAGACATGTTTTGTTCGTGTGTACATATACATAATTTTAAACTATTCTATAATTTAAAAATAATTTTGTTTTAACGAACTATCTTCCTACTCGCGCCCCTGCCTGAGCGACGCTCACGTAGGTGTCCCCCGAGCGCGTCGTGCGCTGCCTTTGCAGGGCTGGCGTTGAGCTGCCAGCTTGGTCACGCCGCCCTGAGAGGTGTGTTCGGCCCCGCACCAGTGCCCTGCCTGCCCGCTCCGCTCCTCGGGGAGATCGGAAGAGAGGTGGGAGACTCCGGAACACCGGCCCTCGTTGTCGCCGTAGTGGTCAGCTTTGGGAGAGAGTTACGGTGTCGTGTGCGCTACCCTCAAAGTTCCGGACTTTGAGAGACACGTTGCAGTGATGCCCAAATCGAGTTCAGAGGGGTTGGACTTAATTAGTGGGAATTAAGTCAGCTGGAATGATTATTGCAAACGGCTTGCCTCGAGCGTGTTAATCATCGCAAGAGTCACGTTCCCACACTTTCCTCTTGACACACGTGTGACTCTCCCTGCCCAGCACAGGGCTGTGTTCTGCAGTAATGGCTCCCAAAGTGGGGCTGTAGTTTGGAATAATAACTAGCCACCAAATCACTTGGCCTCTCTGGATTAGGTTGGAAATCACAAATAAGGTAGTTCTGAAACCTGGGCTCCTGCAGCAGTGCAGAGTTCTGAATTAATTTGAAAGAGACTCAGTGAGATGCTACAACAAAACTCGATATATGTTGTCTTTGTCAAACATTGGTTTTTTTCGGGAGTTTTCCCAGCATTTTAAAATGTAGTTCAGCATAGTTTATGGCACAGCTTAATTTAAAGTAATATAATCTTCATGCCTGGATGAAGTTTTTCCTTTCCAAACATTTTTTTGAAAACTGGTTTAATTATAGTATGCAAATACTTGTACTTTTATATTCTTACTATGTAAAAAAAAAAAAAAAAATCTAGTGTTTGCATTTGGACATGGACATATTTTAAAATTGTGTTGTTAAAATTTCTATGCGGCATTCATAAAAACACCAGGATGACAATGTGGGATGGAATGAATGTAATGGAAATAACAGTGCTAAATTTCTTTCCCTGCTTTTGTCTGTAGTGAGGTGCTCAATATAGTGCATAGAATGCATTGTACACATTTTTGCTTCTTTGAAAAAATAGTTAATCTCTCTTTTTTCGATAGAAAGTGGTTGCTGGAATTGTCAGTGGAGAGAGAAAAAAGTTCCACAAAGTTAAATTCTTCAGTGGAGTTATTTGAAGACTAAAATGAAGTTGTCATTGCTAAAAAATAAGTAAGCTTAAGGGTCGGTTTGTGAAATAATTGGCATTTAAAAATCTAGTTGTCAGAACTTTGCACTCTATTTCTTGAATGCTTCAAGCTCTTCCAACTCTTCTTCCTGCTTTGTTTGTTTGGGTTTTTTCTGTAGTGCATATGTCGTTCTTTTGGTTTTCTAAACCTAGATAATACTTTAATGGTTTGGAATAGAAACCAGAGAAAAGGGCAAGTAGTTTGGGGACATTCTATTTATTTTCTTGGAACTTAAAGCTGTTTTGACCTACAGGGATTTTTGTTCTGGTTTTGTGCTTGCCTGTGTTTGGAAGGGCATTCAGAGGGCCTGTGTTTCTTCATAAATCTTAGATGGACTCAAAGGGCCATCAGGACTGCTAAGCCCATTGAGGCTTTGAATGCAATTGACCAATCCCTTGAAAGACTCAACCCGGGAACACATAAAGTGCAAATTTTGTAGGATGGGTGGCATATGGTCATCTGTGGCATAGGTGACAGGATCATCTACAAGCTTTTTAAGGTCTGCCCTTTCAGATGACGTAATATTACACCTGAAGCTTAGATGTAAGAACCTGAATCTGATCCTAGGTGAGCCTAGGCACTCCTTAAATTCATGGGAGATAGGCAGACTGTTACCTTGCTCCTTCCACCAAAGCTGTTTCTTGATGCCATTTCATTCTTTGCTTCCCGATGTTATGTTTGACCAAGACTGGTGATGGTAATGGTCTAAAACATGATCTGTGTTGCTTTGCCGAGTTATTTTCCATCTAACAATTTCAACTGATATTTACATCACAATTCAGTAATGAGTATTTGTCATTCTTGCAGTGTTTCATTGTAATAATAAACACTGGAACTCCAGGAAACCCATATTTTATGCTGAAATTTTAATAGAGCTCTCTGTTTCAACATCTTACTTGCTTTTCCATAATTGATATTTTCTCATCTGAAGAAAGGAACAAGTCACAAAAATGTAATGCAAGAGATTATCTCAAGAGGCTTTTACCTCATTTGCCCCTTACACACATTCTGAGGAAACAGAAATATATTTAGATTCTTCCTAAGTGATATTTTTTGAAGCTGCACTGCATATACTGATTTAGTGACTGAATTTCTATGCTTTCTCCTGCTTATCTGTACCAGGCAATGCTTGCTCCTCTTATATAGAAATATATTCACTGAAGATTAAGAATTGCATCTTATTTTCAGTGGTTATGGAGAATGTGATTGTTACATCTATAAAACTGTATGTATTTTAAACTGTGATAATAAGCACATCTTGTGATGGAGGGCCTTATGAAAGAAATTCTTCCAGAAACTCAGGTCTATTTGATGTGTGTTGAAGCACATCTATGCAAGCAGTTAAAGGAAATGCTGATGATACACCTATTTGTCTAGTCAGGTCACTAAGCACACTAAACTTGTAATGTTAGAAGCATGAAAACACTTGTAGTTCAATGGGGATTTCTATTGTGGGACACAGTTCATGTGTTCTGCCACTTGGTAGAGGTGGCCTGATATTCAGAAATATGCTGTGATTTATCTGCTGCTGGACTCCATCAGTAGTTTATGAAGTGGTGTACTTGATTCCTTTATGGTCCTGCCATCTTTTTCAGGACTGGCAAATATAACTCCAGCCTTTATGTGGCAGATATGCTGAGGCTTTGCTTTTATAAAAGCAGTTGTTTTCTTTTTTCTTGCATGCAGTTTTGAACTGCTGTGCCAGACTTTCCCCTTTCAGTTGTGGATAACCTGTTTGAATACATGTTGCCCCCAAATTTAAATCTTTATATTGGACAGAAATGCTCTTCAGAGATATGTACCAGTATAGGAGGAGTGGGAAAACAAAGCTAGACCTTTACTTTCCTCTTCACCATTGAGTCTGTCCTTTTCTGGGCTTTTTGTACCTGTCCTATATTATCAAAAGACTGTGGCTATGGGTCACTTTTGGGAAAGATCAATACCAGTGACCAGTTTTCCCCTAGTAGCTTGCTGCCTTTTAGTCTTTGGGGTAGCTGGAGTTGGGACTCTTCCAGGTAGTGAGAAATTGTATGGCAGCAGCCCCATGAGACTTCAGTGTGGGTGGTGTCACTTATGTTTGTAGAAATGGAAGGCATTCCAGAAGCTGCTGCTGCTTTTATCAACCAACATATGATTCGTTGTCTTTATTTTTTATGGTATTTGTAAGCTATTTCTTTTCTTCCTGGATTTAGAGGGTTTGTGAGTCATTTTCTTGGGATTCTCAGCAGTGAGTGAGTGGCCATGGTCTGTTTAGACAGAACTGATAACCATCGTCATTCCCATCATTTAACCTCAGTATTCTCTGACCCAGCCTTTCTGCTCAAAGGATCACAAGGTGATCTTTGCTGATGAGCCTGAAGAACAAATATTTAATATGTTTCTATGAGTGAAGTCCTGGAGCTACAGATACACACCTCTCAGCATAATGTATTGCAGCTTTTCACAGTAGGGGAATGGCTTATTTTTGGCTCAGGAGGAAATATTTTTTTCTTTTCTCCTCCCTCTTTCCCTCCCTCCCCATTTCTGCCTGTTCTCTCTCCTCCCTGCTTTGTACATTAACTTGAAAGCCTTTGCCCAGCAATTATATGGGACTCTTTGGTGGTCATGTGCTTTCATTTGCTCTAACCATGGTGGCAATTGACTGTGTTCCAGGATTTTCTAGTGCCCATTGGCTGAACTGAATTCTTACTTGAAATAGCTGTGAGACTCAGGACTTTCTGTTGCAACTCCTTTTAAAAGACTCAAGAGTACTTTGAAGCATCTCCGGTGAGCCTACCTGTTTGAGACAGAACTGCTGTTCTGAGTGCTAATCTGTCAGAGGTTTTGGGGTTAATAAACTGTATCTTAGAGCATACAGGGGAAAAGCCTTCCATTGTGTCCAGCAGGGAGAACCAAAGACGCAGAGCAGCTGTAGCAGGTATTGTGCTCTGAGCTTGGAAAATCAGGATATCTGCTAAAGACACTGGTTGTTTCATTCGTTGGGTGTTTCGCTTAAGGGAAGTGGTTTCCTAAGAGCTGTATTTCTTCCTTTGCATGCTTTGTTGTTCTTAGTACAAATATGAAAGCTTTAATTTAAGAGGAGGTAAATAGGGCTGAATATGTGGTTTGTCACACAGATTTTAAGATTTGTATTTTCTCATATTTCCCCTCTTTTAAACTAACAAATGCCCAAAAGTAGAACTTTTCTTATCCTAACATTTTTATTGCTCTCTTCTAGAGGCTTTCAATTTTGTCTTTTTTGTTTCTTTGCTTGGGTTTTTTTACACTTCAGCCAAAAATTAGGACGGGAGGGAGAAGGAACTAGGTGCAGTTCCTTTAGCATTTTCAACCTTTCCCAAGTTCACCATCCAAGAGGCAATTTAGCAGTCAGCAGGTTTAGGGATCCCCAGAGGGGAAATAACGAGAATGTCAAATCATATGATTTTGGAGTGCCATAAAGAACATGTGCCATTGGTAGTATAAGTCTTTTAAATAAATCACTTTCAACCCAGAACACTTTCAACCCTTAAACAGAAGGTGCTCTGTTGGAGCTAAGTACAATATTATATTGCTTCTGATGCTTTACATGTTTTTTACTACATCCTAAGAGGATATCTGTTCTTTTTTGTTGCTATAAACATGCTATTGACTCATCTTGTGTACTATAGCTGTGCTGTGTTATGGCCTTTGTGGTGATGTACAGAATGTGCACAGTAACATCAGACATTTGTGATTCAGCCCCTAGGACGTGTAAAGGTCTTGTTTTACCCTTCTGTTAAATACCAGAAGCTTACTATGTCATGAAAACTTTTAGGCCCTTCAGAGGATGCATAACATGCAAACTCAGAGTGTGGTGTCCTACATGCTAGGAATTTGTTACTGGATAGGGAAAAAAACATCTTTCTTTGGAGCATGATAGTCTGCATGCTAAGAACTTTTGTATTACAGGATAAGGAAAAAAACCCAGTTATCCTCTCTATATAAATCATTCTCTTCTTTGATTATAAAAGTAGAATGCTTAAAAGAAAAGAAAGTTGATCACTGCTTGAACCTGAATGTTGATTTTTTTTTTTTCTTCTATGATTGATTTCAGTACTGTTGGACGAACAAGTTGCAGATGGTGTGCATTTTAAAAAGTGAAAGATTTAGTGGATAACTTCAAGTTATCCAAGGTTTAACCAAGTTAAAACACCTCAAATCTTTCACTGGGTACTTAATGTACTTCATAAGTGTTAGTTTCTGACATTCAAAAATGTTTTCAAAAGGCAAGATATGTTGAAACACAAACCCACATTTAAGTCTGTATCCTCATTACATGACTTTTTATGTGCCATCCTACCTCTGTAGAAGATACTTCAAATTGCAATCATGCCTAATGGCCTGCTCTTAGGCATTGCTTACAAAAATATTTCAGGTGGTGCTGTAGTTGGCGGGTTGGCAGCTGGCAGGGGAAAAACTCTCAGTACACTTAGTGTGATTAGGGTCTTGATCTGTTTTTTGACATGGAGGAGGATGTCAAAATGCTGCTTGTTCTTTGGGTAGAAGATCTGGAGGGAGACTTTGGGTCTCTTCTCTCTTGGAAGAGCCAAAGACAAAAGGGAGCGCTTGGCAGTGGTAATGAGTGCTTGTGACAGTTGCAAGAAAAATGGGTGAGAGGTAGAGAATTACATGGGGAGAATAAATATTACAGTAAAAAAAGAACTGGCAAATAATTAATAGCCAGCCTGCTTTTTGGAGTTGATCATGCTTGTGTTAGAGGGTTTTGTGGCAGAAAGCCACAAAAAGCATGTGGTTTTTTTGTAAATAAATACAGTGGTCACTAAAATTAGCAATTAATGGTAAGTATTTGACTAACGAAAGCTTTTTTGAGATTTGGAATATCACTTGTTGACTCTGTGTTTTAAAAACAGGCAGCATACAGAACTCTGTATTTCTCCCAGAAGTCAAATTACACTCTGTGTTGTATATAAATGTGTGTGAAATTGTCTCTGTAAACAGAGACAATCTGCTGATTTAGGCATGCTTTATCAGCAAAATTACCTCCTCTGTGTTCAATCGTCTTGGTAAATTCCAGCTCTGTTGCAGACGCTCTCGATGCAGGAGTGGAATTGGATCCAAGAATGCCATCTCTTTGTTTATTTTCTCTTGTTTATTTTTAACATAAATGACAATTAATTAATCTTTAGTTTGTGAATGATTGAGTGTCAGTGAGAGACATGGCATGTTTGTTTCCCATTAAGATAAAGGCTAAAGTTGTTAGGGACTTGTACCAGAGGAGTGGAATATGCGTTTGGCAGTGACTGCTGCTCCTTGGGCAGGACCAGACTGCTAAATGATCTCTCCTGTGCTGATGGTCGCTGTCTGCTAAGCAGTTATGTCTCAGTCTTCCTAGGGAAACAGCCCCCTGGCAGGTGAGCTATTCCTGAATCTTGTGGAGTGGGAAGATGTGTGCTGCCTGGCTGGCATTAATGATTGAAAGGAATGTACAATCTTGTAGCTATCTTTTATCACCTTTTGCCAGCTCTACGCTGCCCTTTTGTCTTGAGTTTAATCCCATTCTCACTGCAGAGACTGTGCTCAAAAGAGTCATCTGAGAAGCCGTGGTGTGACTACACATTATAGCCCATGAGATACTGTTAGTTCAGTCTTCTTTGCAGGTGTAGCATTACATAAACTAAAAATACATGGATGTGATTACACTCAGAAAACATTATATTTTAAGCTACACTAAAGTTTTCAGCTATATTAAGCTATCCTAGTTTGTCTGCATCCACCTGCAAAACTTTTTGCCTTAGCCCCTTATGCTCTTATGTATACAACAGTGCTAACAGTATTTCAAATCTGTGTTTGAGACAAGTGAAATACACCACATGCCTGCTTTTACCAATCAGTCATAATATTTCTAGTTATGAGCTGGAGAGATGCTAGTTCCTTAAGTAATAGAAGCCTCTCATCTTGGAGAAGAAAGGGTTTTATTTTTCAACTCTACTTCCTATAATAATTTTCTTCGTAGAATTGGCTTTGTTCAGGTTGTACTTGCTAAATAACTAATTCATGATCTAGACTTTACAGGATTTGATCCCTTCAGATTTAGATTACATGAGGTAGAAAATAAAATTTAAATAATATGTTACTCTTCTGATTGTTTTTAATTTTTCTATTGTGCATGGTTTTATATATTAAAATGTATTATCCTTTTAGGAAGCTGCTCTAGAAAAGCTTTGAGGAATTCACACAGTAGTTGCATGTTGCAGGCTATGCAAGCTGCCTACATTAGGGAATATTTCAGCTGTGTAGAGCTCAAGGATAGTGATGGTAAGGCTGAGTGCCTGCATGTGAGAGGCAAGGACATGGCCAACAAGGCAGTCATCCTGAGGGGTGTCTCTTACAGACCACCCTGCCAAGATGAAGAGGCAGATGAAGTATTCTGTAAGCAGCAGGGTGATGTTTCACCGTGGCTAGTGGCTGTTCTAGTGTGAGAATTTAACTTGCTGGATATCTGCATTCCCAGAAGTGTTTTACTCTTTTGTTTTGTTGCTCTTGGAGGAGCTAGGTGCTTTAGAGTTGTCTTTGTGGTCCTGAAAATTGATCTGTACTTGTGTTGGTTAATAGGGTTTTCAGCTTTCTACAACATCTAACCATAATAAGTCTTTTTTCAGTTCTTTGGCTTTGTGATTCTTAAAACCATAGGAAGTTCCAGACTTTGTGGTTTTATGTTGTGATTTGAGGAGCATATTTGCAATTCCTCCAAACCAGTATTATTTGAGAAGTCGCAAAATATCTGAGTGACCTTTAAAGACTCTGTATTTTGAAGTCATTTTTAGCTAGAACCTTTCCTGGAAATTAATTTTTTCCACCTCTGTTTGCCATGGCAACAAACTATATGTGGTTTAAGGGAGACTATCCATCTTGTAAAATATTCTGATTCTCCAGCCTTGTATAGCTGCTTCCACTGTCTTCATGTTTTGTTTCCTTAGGTCTAAAAAGTATTATATATTAATAGGAGCAGATTTGTAGAACATAACGGTTAACATTGAAGTCCCGATGCCTGCAACATTATGTATTTGGGCTAGCTATGATCTAGTCCCATGGACTGAATGGTGACTTCTGATTTAAAAACACTGGTTTTATGCCTGGATCACATTTTTTAAAGTCTAGGTTCATCTGAAAGAATTGCGTTTCCTTACTGTACTGTGGAGTGTGAGTTAGAGGACTGTCGTGAAAAGCAGGCTCCTTGTGCAAAGTAAAACAGGAACACTGATGCACCCTGCATCTGTCACAATTTAACCTTGGAGCCATGGATCTTTCAATGTAAATTGAAATTTCTCCTAATTTTAAGTGCTGAAAGTCTGCAGTGTATATGGCTGTGTCAGCCAAGATAGTGACCACTGTATACAAACAAGATTAACAATATAAAATTCCAACTAATGATAGCTCATAAGTGGGTCTAGCTTAAAATGGCTCTAGCTTAAAGGGAAAAAATAAGACACTTTAATTGCTTGTTTGTAATAGTTAAGATTTTCTAGCCACTAACAGTGTTTGACAAATTTGCTTAGAAGTAGTGGTTTTGAAGTTGTGATTGGTTGGCTTAAAGTAAAGCTTTCTGGTTTAACATATAAACTGTGTACAATAAGGTGGCACTAAATTTTTTTCCTGAGCTCATTATGGAATTGTCTCTAGCAACTTCGTGCAATCAATTGCAGAATTATAAATTACTAGGGCTAAAAGAGTGAAGAGCTAAACTATTATACTAAAAGTATATAATATACTTGGATCTGTTTTTATGCAAATCTTTGGAAATGTTTTCTGATGCTTGCAGGTGGCACTTCATAATTCATTATGGACCGTTTTGAAGACATATCAGATGGTGAAGTGGATCATGCCTTCTTTGACAGTGACTTTGAGGACGAGAAAAAGAAAGAAAATGGTGTATGGAAAATGGAAAAAGAAGAAAATGGTGAATATATAGAGAAAGAAAGTATAGAGGCAGCTCTTGCAGACACTGATTTGGTTTCTAATTCAAAGGATGAAAAGCGTTGTGAGGAGGAAAGTGAAGAAAAGCAGATAGATTTGCAAAAGGATCAGTCCCTAGAAATTAGCAAGGATCCTGTTGAAGATGCTTCGTCTTTGACAGTTCCTCCGGTTGCAGAGAATGCAGGTGCATCTGGAGCAACACCTGCAGCAAATAGAGGAACAGAAGAGATTGTTCCTGCTGGAATTCCTAAAATAGTTAAAGAAGGTGAAGAAGATTACTATACAGATGAAGAAGATAGTAGTGATGATGGTAAAAAACAGAAGGTTAGACCAAAGTCAGCTAAGCAACCAAACAACATAAAAAAGGTTAGCAAAAAATATACTATCAGCTCCTCCTCTTCTTCTTCCTCCTCCTCGTCCTCCTCATCATCATCGTCAAGCTCAGATACCGATTGTTCTGACACAGATTCTGATAGCTGTTTATCAGATTCCTCTCATTCTTCCCCAAAAAGGAATGTTTGTAGAAATGCTCTTCTGTCTCCAAAACAAAAATTCAAGTCAGCAATGAAATTAGCAGAAGGAAAACCAAAGCTTGGTGATGACTTGGAGGAGTCTGAAGACACAGTGACTGACGTAACACCTCTGTCAACTCCAGACATCAGTCCTATCCAGTCTTTTGAATTTGTAGCATCAAATGATAAGAAACTAAAAGTAAAGAGGCAGGAAAATGTGAACCAAGAATTATACGGTAATTTTGAGATTTTAAGTACAACACTAAATGTGTAAGACCTGTGGGGCTGGGAAATTCAATCTTATATCTGTATTTTTTTCGTTAGATTCCGAGTTTGATCGCAGATATAGTCAAAAAGTCTTGCATGACGCCATGGACCTGAATCAGCTTCTGAAAGGTGATTTTTAAATTTTCTTTCTACAATGTCCAATATCTGCCAGTTGTTGAGAACAGCTGTATTCTAATAGAAGAGAGTGGGGTTTTCATATGCAATGTTTATTTTTAAAACTGGTTGCTGTTTAAGTGGTGTTGATCTAATTCTTTGAAGTTTTCTCTATGTAATAGCACTGATTCTGCAGTAGAGAAAAGAAGTATGCATTGGTTTTCATATACCTAGAAGTAAGATACACAGAGAGGGTGAATCCACAAAAGATTGGATATATTAATAAATTGGGTAATAAAACTGCATATGCATTTTAAGGTGTACTGGACTATGGCACAATTTAATATCTAAATTAAAACATCAGCCTTTCTGTTGAAAGGCTTAGTTATCAACCTCCAGAACTGAAAGACAATCCAAAATTTCAATGCATTATAAATGGTATTCATATACTTAAACTTCTAGTACCTTTTTGATAATTAAACAGAAGTATTTGAAATTTTTTTCTGAACTGTCTGCCTTCTAAAATACCATAGGTTGAGTAAAGGTATTTTAAAAAGCAAAATAGCAGATAATCTTTACTAAAACTCGAGTGGTTGCTTCTGCCTAATAGGCTTTAAAAATCTTAATAATGAAGCCTAAGAAAATTTGCAATCTCTTTCCCTGCATTCATTGCACACCTTCATTATGTGGAGTGACAATGCCCTGTATCCTCTCATGTGCATATTTTAAGGTCTACATGCATTTTTTTTTCATGGCCCAGACTTTTCAGTATTAAAATCTGTGGAATAAAAAAGGCTTGGCTCAAGAAATCTACTGATCTCAGGTGAGAAAAGCCTCTGTTTAAACCTGGTACATTCCAAGCCAGGTTTGCTGTGTTAAAGTAGGCCTGGGATGACTAAAACTGCACGTGTTGCGTTTCTTCACCTTCCACCTTGCCAGACTGAGCTTCTAGTGAATGATTTAGAATGTATTGTATACATGGTTTAACTTGCCTATGTGTAAAAAATGACGATTTTCCTTGTATGGAAGTTCTTCAGAAGTTAAGAAAAGCAATGCTAGCCGTCTAGAAAGGTAGAGCTTTTTCTCATCTCTGGCAGTCCTTGTGCTTCAGCCATTTTTTCATTCTAGAAGCAATTCCCGCCAGTTGTCAAACATGATGTCAGAAGAGTTGTTGCTATTATGATTCCAATTGTCCTATGTCCTTATTTGTTCCCTGTTAGCAAGAAGCTATTTAATGGCTCGTGATTATCAATGGATTCATCTCATCCCTAAAACAAATGGGTATTATTGCTCGGAGTAGGTATTCTCAGAGATGAGTCTCTTTTGGGGAGAGGAACTTTTTTCTCAAAACTGAAAACCAATTCTAAATAACAATAATAGAGTAATTAGAAGTAGAATTCATATGGTCTAGCAGCTAATGTTCCTGATTAATGTGTATATTACTCCCAAGTGCTTCTCTAAATCAGCAAGCACAACATGGCTTAATTAGTTTGGGCATTTTGAAGTTTAAATAGGGCAGAATTATTAATGGTGGAAAGTAACGAGTCTGGGGAAATAGGAGCTAATCTTATTCTGAGTTACTGCTTACAGACTTTTTTGTACACATTAGGGGGAAAAAAATTCAAATAATTTTCCTCCACCTGCCAGTCTCCATTAAATGTTCATCAGAACTGTGTAGGCATAAACATTGCTTCCAGTGAGAATACTGCAAGCCCAGATCTGAGTGCATGAAAAAATATTTAAATAATCATGATTTGTTTTTAAAGTATCATACTCTTCCAGTACTTTATACTGATGAAGCATTTTATTTGAATTTTTGTCAAATATGCTTGTAATATAGCTGGACCTAAACATTTACAGAAGTTATACAAGTTTAGTTTCCCAAGGTCACCAGATACTTTGCAGAATTTCCATGTGATCTATTACTGTGTTGTTTCTACGAGGCACACAGTAATTAATTTTGTATGATTATTCACATTACCGGTGCATACATTTGGGAAGACTGGAATCTCTTGTATTAAAAAAAAGAACTGCAAGAATAAAAAAAGGAAAGAAATTTGTTCAAAGAACAAGTTTTGGACTAGCACAAGAGACTGATTATTAGAGGCAGCAGGGTGGTTTGTGTATCTTCAAGCAGAATTAATTTGAAGCATTTAGAAACTTTTGCAGTTAAATTTAAAAGTAATTGGAAAAGTTTTTCCTTTATATGTCCTTTACCTATTTGTGCTCATATTGAAAACTATTCATTTGTAAGCATTTTTAAAATTGTATTAGACAAAAATTATCATGCCTTTACAACTCCTAAAGTTATGCTTGTTCTTGATAAAAGCCAAATTTTCCATTATGCATTTTTAATAAGGTAAAATGAATAACATACTTCTAGTTGGAAATCTCATAGTCTCCCTGCTCTATATTGCACTTTGATTGTTTTTAGATGGGTAGTGCTGATAGCAATTGTGTTTATAAATTTTCAGGTAGAAATTCAGCTTTTCAGTTGTTTCATTATGTTATATAGATCTTTGTGTGTAATTGTCTTGTGATTTGATAATGTTTCCCCTTTGCTATAAACTTTAAAGATATTTCAGAAAATTAATAACTGAAAGCAGTTCTAAACAGATACTAATAAAAAATGTCAAGAGTTATTTCCTCTGCTGTACTCTTGAGTAACTTGAACACAAAAAGAGAAGTATGGCGATGCAAAGAAATAGATCATAAAATACTGTTTTTGAAGGTAATTTCATAAATCACCATGTTAGAAAGCTGGGAATAAGATAAATTGGAAATTTTTCTGATGCTATTTTGCTTGATCCTATGTCTCAGTTATGCAGATAATGAGATGGTTAAGTATATGAGTGTGAACTAAGCACTCATCTGTCTCAACCCATTACGCCACAGATTTGCTCTCTGTATTTAGACAGATCTCGTGATTTCTGTAGTTCAGAGCAGAGTTGTCTGCTAAAATTGCTTTGTATCTCTTTCTTAATTTGTTTGGTATCAATACAATGGGATAGCACAAGGTATATACAGTGCTAAAGAATTTAGTACTTCGTGTTTTCTTCTCTGTAAAATGGGGTTGATACCTGCTTATTTTACAGAAGTGTCTGTGAGAATTAGTCAGGAAATCCATGGTATTAGCTATTATTAACTTGAGGAGGTGGCATGGTGGGGTAAGTAGGGCAATTGGCCACAGACTAAAGTTCTATCCTTGAAGCTTCCACTGACCTCTGTGCTGATAAATCTTTTTGCCTCTTCTATGCCTTACATTTTTAAAATAGTCAGAGCTTCCTCTGTGAAAAGCTCTGTAATATAAATATCATTATTATGAAAGTAAAAGCTCTGTGTTTCTGAATAAAATCTATTGTAGAAAATTAAATAGCAGCTTCAACTGAACATGAAGCAATCACTTGAATTTTTTTTTTCATGCAGTTTGTCACTCAGGAAATAAAACAAGTTTATGATAACTGAAACTTTGTTCTCTTTAGGGATATGTTATCTGTGTGCTCATTCATGCTGAACTAGTGTATTTGTAGAAAAGCTGCTAAGCAGTATCTAAATTTAAAGTAGACTCTACAATATACACATACCCAAACTGTAGAGTTGAACTAAGCATATATAGCTTTTCTGTGGAAATCCATTTAGTGCATATGTTGAGAGTTCAAACTAATTTTCTATATGTATGTGTATTCATATACTTTGTTTTTTGCAAACCTAGAAACTTGTGTTGAGATAGAAGAGCAATTGCTATCTTATTCATATATTTAGTGTTTGAAAAGAGATTGAAAATCTGTGAGATTATTAAGAGATACAGGTTTCCCCGACATCCATGAGAAACTTTGTAATTATGGGGAAAAAAAATGTAACATGTGTAAGACATCTTTCTCATGGTATCAAGAGATAACTAGCAGCCCTATTTAAGCATGTTTAAATAGAGAAAAATTTTACCTGAAAAGGACATTCTCATTTTCTTAATAAAAAGCTAAATCTTAAATTCTTCAAAAATCCCTTTTAAAGAGCTATGTGGCTTGCAATAACAGATGTTCTAGGAAGTATTTGTTTAGAGATACCACAGGGAAATAGTTTCACTCTTAAACTACTATATATTGATGAAGAACTGTAATGTATTTAATCCTTTTATACTTTTCAAATGTGATACACATGTGCTATTGTAGCAGTATAAAATAAAATATCAGTCAAGTGTAAGTATTGAAGCAATTTATATAGGGGTTGCAAAAGATACACTGAAACATGCATGATTTTGCTTTTAGCCTTAATGACGGCTGTATCATCCTGTCCTATTGCATTTTACTTGCTAATTATAAGTTGTGTTTTATATAAGGTTTGGCTGTTCTCATTCTGCAAGGTTATTTCAATGCTTGGAAATTGAAAGCAATAAACAGGTTGTTTATGGCTTAAAAGAGGGCAGGTATCTCTCCATGGAAACCAGCTTTCATAGAAATCCTGTGAATACCAGGAAATTTTCTTTTCTTGCTTACCAGCAAATGAGAAGTAGACAGCACACTGTTCAAGTCGTTATGCAAATGCTGCTGCTTATTTATCATCTACCCCAAATTATATGTAAGGTCTGACTGACCGTAAATGAAAGTAACTAGTGGTTTAGTTAAAATTACTCATTACCCATAGGTAAATCATATTTCAGTGTTCCAAAACTTACAAACTCTTTAGAAACTTAAGTCATAACCTTAAAGTGTAGTGTTGTTACTTATAACTCCTGTTGTCAGTGGCTGCTGCAGAAATAGTCAGGTGAACCATTCAAACACTTAGGCCTTGTGATTAAAGAGTAGTGTGAGTGCATTGATAAATAAATCATTGAAATAACTATGAAACTCAAACATCTGAATTATATTCCATGATCTGTGCTACCAGTATTTAATAGCATTTGCAATCTTACTTTTTCTTTTGCTTATTGATGAATTGTCTCTGGTTTTGTGGGCATGTGCTAACCTTGCTTAGACACCTACTGCTTTGCCATGAAAGTGATGTTGCCAGTGAGTGGCAGCATGCATTCAGAGCATATTTGCCATACATTCCTACTGTGGATTACCTAATTTTCTGTCATAGCAAGTATGTGGAGAATAGGAGTATGATGCTATATAAGTGGTGCTTTGCAGAGGCAGGTTGGACAGATTTTCAGTTAGGTGACTGGAAGCAGTGGCAGCCATTACTACTGATTTGAAATTCAGGTATCAGAAGTGTCTGTCTGAACCATGAAGAGAATGTCACCCCTGCTTCAGGAAGACCTACAGAAGTTTCACCCCACTGCTTTCTAGATTGCTTTGTGATTTATTTGAACATCATTTAAGGAGTGGTGATTTCTTCTGCTTGTTTTGTTAGGAATATGTATGTTGTAGTATTAGTGATGCTCTTTCACTAAAATTATGCATATGCATTGTGTTGTCTCTTTTTTTCTACTAAACTTTAGACTTTCCTGTGACACAGTTCCTATGGAGATCAGTGTTGCATTTGACTGATTTTTAAAAAGACTATCTATAGGTAGGGTCCAGTAAGCTATGGTTTGCTTTGCTGTGATGTTTGCAGATTAAATTCTTCCTGAACATAGATCTTAACCAAGTAAAACGTAACTCCAGTTAATTAACAGATTAAAGAACCACAAACCACTTTTATGTACCGTACTTTTACAGTCTTACCTGATCCAGTGCTTCGGTGTATTGCAGTAGTGTTGCAACAGAAAGCTAGCTGTGAAAATTCAAATGGCTTCTTGGGTCATAGAAGTCTAATAATAAAAAGATCATTTGAGGAACTGGAGAGTTATAGATCATTCAATTTTTTCATTCCGTCCTCTTGAAAAAACACTTGCTGCTGCATGTGTTATATTTGGTCTGAACTTCTGATACAAAATTAATGAGTCTTCTGTAATTCAGACATCTATCAATAGGTTACTTAGTTTTGGCAGTTGTCCACTAAGGCTTCACTGAATAACTTCACAACAGAGCCTTTGTGGTGCTCTTAATTCTTTCACTGTATTAATGTATTTCTCTTGAGTTGTGATAAATTCAATATTATGACTGTTAGCAAGCTCTCAACCTCAAAAGTTGCCAGAAAGCTGTTGGCAGTAGTAAAGTCTGTTTCTACATTAAGAATAAATAAACAATAATGAGGCTAAGAATGAACAGCATACTGAAGAAAGTGGGATGGAGTCTCTGCCTGACCCAAGTGGAAAAGGCTGTCTTTGTGGTGAGGTGATAAAAGGTGTGGATGAGGCCCTGTAGAACTGATACATATGCACAGGAAAAAGGCTAAGGAAATGAAGAAGAAAGAAGAGATGAATAAAAAAAAGTCTGTGTTGAAGGGAGATGTGACTGAAGAAGCTGGAAGAGGAGAGTAAAGTTAGTAAAATTTTGTCCTTGCGTATGTGAGAAGTAGTATCCAGTAGAGCAATGCATGGATATGTGCATAGATAGGTATTCACTCTAATTGCCTGAGATATTCTGGTAAAACAGGGGATGTTTAATGCTACAATAGTTGCATGTCATTACCCCCTGGAGATCTGAGTGACAAAGTAACGAAGTGCTTGTTGAGCCATGTATGTAGCAATCGCTACAGGGTTCCTTGAATCATTGTTTCTACTGACCAGCTTTGGGTTAAAAGGGAAAGGCCTTCCTTCCATATCATTGCTCTGGTTTTATTTTTTCATCACACCTAGCAGCAGTTTACCGGAAAAGTGAACAAGTCAGAAAATGGGTAGTCAGTAATTACCTTGAAGCATTTTTAATCTCTTTACTGCCTATAGTTTATAGTTACATCAAAAGTATATACAGTCTCTGCCAAAGTATAGCCTGCCATCTTATAGTGAATTAAAAGTCATTGACCAGTGAAGGCATGAAACCTATATTTCTAATTGAAAAAGTCTTCATCCAGAATGCCATTGCTTTAAATTGATTTTTACTAGTTGGCATCTTCCACAGAGGCAAAATAATTGTTGGAAATTTGTGCTGACAGTAATTCAGAAATTTAAATGCCTCTTGTAATAGACTTCCTCATCAATAGCATTGATGCCACAAGGCTAGATCAGGACTTGAGTTTAACAACTGTTCTTTGTCACAACCGGATTTCCACTATTGCATATGACGTGCAGTCCTCTTTAACCCATGAAACGCTATGGGTATAAGGCAAAAAGTTAAATTACCTTTCATAGCTCCATAATAATACAATTATCGATTATGTAACATATCTTCTTCAGATATTTGTTCAATTTACTTTCTTCTGGCTGTGCTCTGCAGTGCTGATTTTGCTTTTTTTTTGTCCAATAAAGACATTCTAAAATGTTTTGTGCTGAGGTGTATGGGCAGCTTGATGTGAATTGTGCAGCTCTGGTTATTTTCTTTGCATTTCTCTTTGTCTCTTGTAGGCTTATCCAGACGAGTCTCGTTCCAGGTTTGTCTCCTCCAATAGCGTTGATGGCTGTACTAGTTTCACCTTGAGAATAACTTACTAAACTGTAGAGATGTTTTTCAAGACATTTATATTGTATTAACCTGTTGGTTGGCACACTTGATCTGTGCTAGATGGCATTTGTCTTGGTTTTGAGGTGATTTGCATCTTCTCTTGAAAAACAAAAGCAGAATTTGCTGGTGTGGACAACCTCGCAGAGCTGTCTTGGGACAGTTGCCTATGTTGGCTAGCATGCTGATAGTGCAACTTTACTAATTTCCAGATGAATGTTGAAATTAATAAAGTGTTTAGATTTTGCATTTTGAATACTGTTCTTATATTTCTCAGACAGTAGCAATATTTACTTGCATCAATTCTGGAATGAAATCAGTTGAGATACCACAAGAAAGATTTCATTTCATTTTGAAATAAAAAAATGCTCTTCATTCTTGGGGTTTTTCCACTCTTAGGCTGCCTCGGACATCTCTTGCAAACAGATTGCTAATGCAGAAGTGTTTTCTGAGGAAATACTGCCTGCCTGGGTTTTTGGTTTTTTTTCTTTCTGCTTTGGATGCTTGTTTTGCCTGTGTGGGGCTTTTAGGGGTAAGAGTGAGGGAGGTCTTCTGAAGGCACTGTAGTATTGGAGAAGTGTGGGGAATTGTACAAGTAAGGCTTTTTTGTCTGTGTCTCAGCTCCAAAAATCTCTCTAATCTAACCTGGTACTGCCATACCATAGATAATGCAATGGCTTGATGGGGTAACACCATGACAGCAAAACTCTTACACAGCAGTTGCCAGAAGACCTGCTGCAGAGCTTTAGAAAGCAAAAGCTTAGAAACAGGTTAACAGCACAGCTCCAGTGGAAATGTAATAAATATAGCTGGCTCTGACAAAGAGTGAGCTTTTCCAGTTATCTTACAATTGTGCACGTCAAGCTGCTGTGTATTTTTAAGCGTGCATTCCTTATCTTGAAACCTTATTATCATGGTTTGATTGTTGTGTGCTTACTGTTTTGAATTTTCATGCCCCAGTAATTTTTCTTGTGTTATATGTGCTCACTCATTTCTCTCCATTCATTAAATTTACTTTTCATCATTCCCTTTGCATTTCCTCTACTAACATGATGTAGAATTGCTATAGAAGTTAAGTATCAACAAAATCACTTCAGGAAGTGCACTTTGTGTCTCTGAGTCAGGCTTCTCCAGCGTCAGTTTTCTGTCTGAAACATTATTTCTATTCTGTCTCTCAGCTGAGATGGATACTTTAGATTAACTTGGGAGCAAAGTTTTAATCTTTTTTTTTTTATGTGCAAATATCTAAATACTAATTTTACATTTTAATTCTTGGTTCTAATTTATGATTCAGGTTCCTGAAACTGTGTTTTCTAATCTCCTTGTTTATTTCACTTTTTGCTATTTTAAAGCTTTCTTACAGTTGGATAAAAAAGAACATAAACTAACCATCGATCAGCCATCTAAAGGAATCAGGAAAAATTACTCTTTCACAAATGAAGAAGTACGACAGATTGATCGGGAAAACCAGAGGCTGCTAAAAGAACTGTCCAGACAGTCTGCAAGGCCAAGGAGAAGCAGCACGCTGAAGACGTCTGTAACACCAGCTAGAATGTACCACAGTGCCCTCAACAGGCAAAAAGAGCAGCAAAGAATTGAACGAGAAAACCTGGTAAGTTTTGAGTGTGGATGTGGATCAGTAAATTGAGAAGGACTACCTCTTGTCAGATGAGCTGTTGCTAAATACTTAGAAAATTGATGAGGCAGTGCATGGACCTTTACTGCAGTAAGTCTTCAATAAATTTACATTACTATGGTGTTGGCATCATTGTTCAAATGGATGAGTTTCTTGGATTTTTGGGAGAGAGGTGGGAGTAATGATGGGTTTTTTTCAGATGGAAGTAGATTTTAGTTTATATATGTGTTTGCTCTACTTTGGTATCGTTTACATTAAGAGGAACAACTGTTACTGTAGACACACTCAAAACACTGGATAGCAGTCTGACCGTTCATTCTGCTTCACACGTCATGACTACTAATCTCTCAAAAACAGGCTCGCATAAAATAAAACAACCAATATGATAGTATCAAACTCATTATATTTGAAATACAGAGGATAAGAAAGTCAATGTCAGTTTTGTTTTTTGACTCATAGCTATCTCTGTCTTTGAATATTTGTAGCACTCTGATTACCACAATGTAATGGCAATTACAATAGCTTATTTTACTGGAAAACAAAAATTCAGACTCATTTGTAGGGATATTGCCAGAGTTCTCAAATAATAGAAGTAAAACTGGTTTAAATAAGATACTTTTAGCAATTGAATTGTAATACATACACGTAATGTCATTTCATATCTTCTATGTATTTATCGGTGTCTTGGTTTGAAAGACAGGTATGGTCTAAGGAAAGGCAGGAGCCCCTTTTCTGCGATGCAGAGTGCAACCCCCCTCCCTTTTAATTATTTTAGGTCCAATTCAGACACCTTCAGGCAGGAGATATGGGGATAAGAATAACAGTTCTTTACTGGTATCTAACAAAGCAGAAAAACAACAACAGCTATAAAAATTGGCAACAGAAACAGTCTAGCTCCGCTCCAGTCCCTTCTGGCCGCAGGCCGTCTCCCTGTGCTGTTACCGGTGCTGTGGGGGCAGGGCAGGTCCCGCGCAGTTGAAGAGGGCTGGGTGATGGCGGCCGCGGCCCAGGGGAGAGAGGGGATGGGGAAAGTTACTCCCCCCTCACGGTGTCGGTCGTGGTGCTCAGCAGACTGTCCGGAGGTAGTAGGGTGAGCTGGGAGAGCAGCAGAGCGATGTCCAAAGGCAGGGAGCGTGGATCTCAGTGCTGGGATGGCAGGGGAAGATGCCAGAGCAGAGCCCAGGTTGTCTTCCCACTCCAGGAGCCAAGCGAGAGAGAGCCCCGCTCCAGACCCCCCTATCCCACCTTTCCTTTTCCGGTTCCCCCCCACTCCCCCTCCAGCCACCCCCCTACGAGAGAACATTATCTGTCGTTTTAAGGTGTAGCCACAATTACTTAGCATAACAATGGGAGAAATTCCACAGAAAGAAAAGCAAAGCATTCAACCCCCAACAATCGGTGTGTTTGATAAAGACGCACAATTATAGTTAAAATAATTGGAAAATGTATACTGGAAGTCATTTATTACTTTTTACTTTCTGTGTAAGTATAGGTTGCAATTTCCTTTTCTATACACATGGAGATACAGATTCAACATGGAGAAAGTTGCCTATTTGGGAAAATTTGTTAGGTTTTCATTCTTCCAGCTTTCAGACATTGGGATTGTTAAAACTTTGCAAATTAGGAAGTTTTCTCCCCAGCTGCACTAGTCTGCAGTTCACATTACACTTTAAAGTCTGAAAGAATTTAGTACAAGATTTTGTTATAGATGTGTGATACTTGTCATTGGCTGGGGAAGAAATGTTTTTAGGCTTTGGTGTGTTTAGGTTGGTAGGAGGGTGTTGATGGTGTTTATTTCAGGTGTTGAAAATAGGTCTTGTTCTACCACATGAACCTTGTTAATAACAAGGATGTATTCTTAGGTGATGGGGAGGAAGTGCTGTGCCACAGTGCCTCAGGATGTAACAGTTATATGCTGTACTGCATAACAATTAATTATTACAGTAAATGAATTTATAGGATATTTTATCGTGCGCTTCTATTTACTCAAAGCCACAAACCCTTTCTCTTATGATAAATTGCAGTGTTGTTCAAGACTGTCTTGTCTTTGCAACTTTTGGATCAAAAATGCAGCAGACCTAAACACTTTGAGTCATTTCACATATAGCTGCTTTAGTACTTGTTAGAGATGAGTGGTGGTTTCATGAAGTCCAAGAAATAGTATTGTTCATTTACTTACTCATTTATAGCTTAGTAGTTGTTGTCAGCAATGTGGGTGGACATGTTTGATATGAGAATTAATATTAGGATAGTATGCTAATTTAGACTATAAAAGCATTTAGTTTATTCTTTTCCCCAAACTCAGGATTATATGTTCTGTTCTTCTTTTTGGATCAGTGATTCATCAGTGCAGCTCTTCCATTTTGTTTAACTTTGCTATAATTTTTTAGCAATTTTGTTTGTTTTTATTCTGTTTGAAGTGTATGTATACCTAGAGCATCACAGTTTGGACATACTGATTTTTGTAGCACTACCTTTTGAGATTACAGGTGTGACATACTTTTCTCTGAGACTGTAAATGAAAGAGCAGCCCTACCTTGAACATTGATTTTTTTTTTTTTCTTTATATTGGTAAAAGTATGTACTTTATGAACCTGTTTTATTCTAGTCAGCAGCTTTCCTCATCTTCATAAATTTAGAGAGGTGGAATTGGTGGAATTCTGTGGAACTTTCTAGCTCTTACTTCTATACAAGGCCTGAGGGTACTGCATACAGAATATGGTGTTTGATACACCTTTGTGAAATGTTTGTTGGAGAAGGATGCAGAGTTTTGTAAATGATTCAAGAATAGAAATCTACAACAGTAGTCTCTGCAGGGGGTTTAAGAGTTTTGATGCAGAGATTTATTTTTTTTCCTGGTGTTGACACAGTTTTATAATTTCTTGTCCTGAGGTTAACAACTTGCTTATGGAAAATGTTCATTTGTTCCACCACAACATTCTTGAAGTCATGCCTGTACTTACTGTTATCAGAAAGTTTGATTTATCTTGCAGGCATTTAGTATCAAAGATGATGCAGTAAAGTAAGTACAATTTTAGGAAATTAGAGAGGAATCTGAGCGGTTTTGTGCTCCCTATCTTTGTGAAAGGGTGCCAAGAGGTACTGGAAAAATATGTCATTCCTACAGACTGTGTTAGAGCATTGCTGGAGTAAAAAGATGCATTGCTCTCATGAACATTAGTTTTAAAGTACTGATTAGAAATTTATGGAAAAAACACAATTAGCAAAACAGGTGACTGCTAAAATTAATGCCAGTATTTTATACTTGCTGCTTTTGACTGCTTTCGTAAATGGAACCTACTTTTGGTTGCTTTTCAGAGCTAGCAAGTTCAGAGTGTGTCTCTTGCCAATAGAGGATGCTGTTGATTCAGAAAACATTCTACTCTTGTGTTTGAAAAGAATTTCAATCCCTCTTCTTCAGGGGAAAGGAACTTAAGTGTGATTGATATGTTACTTTGTTCCCATGTCTGCATATATATGTGTGTTTATCTGTATTGATACAGTAATCATTTTACCAGTGTGAATAAGAACTTCACTGAACTTCATAGACTAAATGCCATTGAAAGTTTTAATGATTTATTGTGTAATACCTGGCATATACAGGTAAGTGTTTGGGGTCCTTTAAATACTGTTTTGTAGTCATCACATCATTCTTCAGTGTCACTTCCTCGGAATTTAGAAGAAATTCATATCTCTCTGTTGTGTTCTGGTGGATTTTTTCATCATTTTTATTAATTCTGACTAGGATTTAGGTGTTAAGCTCAGTGAGCTAAGCTGCTATGTTCAGTCAAGTTCCTAGGGAACAGCGACCTTTTGAGTTCACATTGGAATTTCACTGAAAGATCTCAGCAGCTCTGGTGGAGGCAGTTCTCAAATCTTCGCTCAGGAGGGATAAGGGTGTTCCTTTTTTGTGGATATTTGGTCTTTCCATGCATTCCTGCACATTTTTCTATACCTCATGTTGTTATGGCTCACTGCACATAAGAGTCCATGTTCTTCATTCCCTCACCTCTTTTTCCTACAAAATGTACCCTAAGCCCTAAAAGATCCAGCTCTGATCCCAGTTCCAGTATAGTAACCCTTCCAAACAAATTTAAAAAAAAAGTCACTTACTGTGTTTGTCTGCAAGGGCCATCTCTTTTCACTTACTTGGTTTCCTGAGTCCTCTGTGCTGCAGATTCATTATTGCTCTGGCCACCGCTTGCTGCAGTCAGTGGCCTCTACCAGCACAAGGATTCTTCAGGGAGACTTTCCCTTCTCTTGCAGTCAGAGCTGACATTGTCCTGCTGGAATCCTGAATCTCCTTTAGAAAGGCATTTGCTGTACTGCCATAAATTAATGTGTATTCATTTGTCTTCATTTCATTTAATGGTGCAGATGTGCTGTCATAGTTGGGTGGGGAGTAAAGGGCAAGGGAGGGATAGTGCTTTTGGCCATCCCCCTACCTGGCTGACACCATGTACAAAGAATATTCCTTTGATCTTGTGCTGCGCTATGCCTGCCTTGCCAGCTGTGTTGTGCTGCAACAAGGGGAGTAAATTCTCGGCCTGCAAAGGAGTAGGAGGAAAGCCACTGGTTCATCAGGATTGCACCTGAGCACATTGTACTTTCCTTCCTAGAAGCATTCCATACTGCATTTTCTCTGCCTTCTCTTTGTCCTGTCCCCAAGGACTATCTCCAGAGTTAGAGAATATCACCGAGTTTTGGATGCTGCACATTTCGGTGGTTGAACCAAGCTTGTTCAGTCTCACTGATCTCAGTCTGGAGGAGAAAGCTGTGCAAAATGCAGTTATGAAAGACAATGTAGTCTCATGTGTGGTCTTAGGAGCTCAGAAATACTCATGTTGTATTATTGATGACTCCTCAGAAACTCAAGCACACAGAATTTTATATTATATTTTCACTTACTTCAAAGGTGAAACTTCACTTAGTTCAAAGGCGGTGTATGCCAAACCAAAAGACAAAATGTTGGTAGTTCCTGAGACTAAAAAATGCAATGCCAACCGGTTTCCATGGCCTTGTCATAATGGGAAGCTCTCAGGATTTGGGATTGGCACACAGATGTGCACGGTTAAAATATTTTAGAGTACAGTACAAATATAGTATAAGTCTGTGATGACAGTATTTAGGCTATAGGCTCTTTGTGGTCAGATTTTTAGGGTTTTCAGATTCCTGACCCAGACTTGAGATTACCATAGCACTGCTATGTGAATTATAATAAAGACTGACTAATTGGCATGTTCAAGGAAAGTTTTGAACACTTCGCAAACTGCTTAATTTTGTGGGATTTTCTTTTCTGTGCTCCTAGGCTACTTTCCTTGTCATGTTGCCCACCACACATAAACTTGATAGCTGTTCAGTTAAAAAGACTTTTCTTGTAAATTGAGGACCTTTAAGAGTTTTCTGACTGCTAGAGTTTGTAAGGTTAGAGCTAGTTAATGCAACTGGCAATTAAAGAAAATTACAAATACTTGTATTGATAAGAACAGAAAGCTGTTCTTGAGTGCAGTTATCTGTTTCCCCCTAGACTCTGCAAAGGGACAGTGTGATCACTAACATCAGTGACATTAGAGGAGGTGTAATATAAATAAATTTGAACAGCTGTCAAGGCACTCTAGTCAGCTGATTAGGATTCATAGGAGGTGAAACTGAAGCCTTCATACTTTTAACAAGCAGAGTAAACCAAGGAAAAGTAAAATTTTTAACTTTCTCTCTAAACTTAGTTTAAGAGTGCTACATTTTCAGTGGTTTTTTTCATACCTTTGTCAACATAGCTGCAACAGAGTCTGTTCTAATTATGTTTGCGGTTTTTTTCGTTTTTTGACAGAGAGCTTAAGAATTACTTTCACTGCTCTCCTGATGTGTCCAAAATTGAATTAGCAGATTTTCTTTTGGCCCACTGTATAGCAGCAGTTTTCTGATTGTGTTGGGTTTCTTTGTTCTCAAACTGTTTGCATTTCTGACATTTCTGTCATTGACAATATGTGTTGTAGTATCTTTATAGATACTAATCTATGTCCAGATGTCTAGATTTATAAAGGATTATCCTATTCCTAGAAGGTAATCATGCGGGAACACCTTCTGTGACTTTTCTTTTTTTAATATTCTACTTTTACTGTAAACTCAGTATTAAAGTAAAAGAAGATGGGGGAAATATAAGCCAGGGAAGTCTTTTGCCAAGATGAGAGATCATCAATGATACAATACTATATATGATTTGAGCTTGAATCAAGAGCTCTGAATACCTACAATGTAATTTAGAGCAACTAATAACATTCCTGCCTTTAGTGTCTGTTCCCCATTTTATTTTTGTTCCTTAAAATTTGATGGGGCATATATATTTGGTTATAAACACCTGAGTTATGTTCTGCAATCTCATTCTTTGATTGTTGAGATCAGTGATGAAATATCTATTTACTTCAGTGATGCAGGATTAAGGGACCAGAGATTTGATACTTCAGAAGAACGAGGAAAGTGTCAGCTTCCTTCAGTTCATTTCTCAAAAGGAGAACATAAAGAATTAGTAGATTTATACATATGACTGAAAAACAACATTTGCTCAAGGTGCTGGTACTATTGTACCAGGTAGTTCCTCATTTAAGGACCTCAAGATTGTAGGGTTGATAATATCAGATTAGTTCCGGGTTACAGATTTAGTAGGTCAGGACTGCGGTTTCACTGTGTCGATGCATTTGTTTCTGCATGCAGCAGGCTGTTTTCCAAATGGCAGAATTCACAACTGAAAATAGCATGGAAGTTAACATGCCCTGCGTACAATCCACAGCAAAAGGCAAGGGAACCACAGGAGCTCTTTTCTTATTGTCTAGAAAAGCTTTCCTTCAGACACTGCTGCACCACAGAATCTGTATCTGCTTTTTCTGTAGCTCTTTTTGCCCCCCCTTCATTAATGGCAACTTGATACTTTTCAAAATACAGGCATAAAAGCAGACAATTTTATTGAAGCTAGAACGAAGTAGGCATATATGTGTGTATATATATATATATATATATGTATGTATGTATGAAAACCCTGTTTGGTCAGAATCAAGCTTGAAATTACTGCAGTGTTAAGGTATGCAAATTCTATGAAGCTGTTACAGTTGAGTGCAGACTTGAAACATGTTGATCTCTCAGAGAAAAGTAATTTCTCCCATTGACCTGATCTATTTGTGATGGAACTGAATGTATTGAGAGCTTCCATTTTTAATAATGAAGGTAAAATAAGTGATCTCTGTATGTCTAAATATATATAGTTGAGGAGATGTGAATGAAGTTGTGAGAAAAATGTTGGCTATAACATTTAGAGACAATAACATTTAGAGACAAGTCTACCATTTCATGTTCTGTACTTGGCTTTAGTGAAGAGCTATTTCTAGCTGAAGTCCTTCCTTTGACTTTTGCTTACTTAGGTATTCCTGCTTGACGATGAACTGGCTGGCACTTGACGCAAGTACTTGTGACATGTTACATCTGAGCCAAAGTCACTTGTCCTTTCTCTCTCGTGCACTCTATGCAGGTTTCCCGTGCCCATGCATAAACTACCAAGAGTTTGTAGATTCCTGTTATAGTTAGACAATGACAATTGACATCCTGTGAATACTGTACTATTTCCTAAGTCACTTATTATAATTTTTTTTATTCTTATTAGAAAAAGAAAAAAATCAGTACATGATTGGGTGTGCAGTTTAATGGTGATGCAGTTTCTTGATCATACATCTAGACAATGCATCTTATAGAGTTGTCTTTAGTACTTTGGAGACTTACTGTAAATACAGTTTGCATTGTCTCTTGTTCATAGGGTGCATGTCAGAGCCCAGACCAGCAAAAGTTGTGTCATTGCCTAATGTTTGCAAGCCATCAAATGAATTGAAATTAGTTAGAAGAGGAGCTAAATAGATCTATGTGAGGCAACTAAAGGTGCAATATATTAAAAATGTGAAGTTGTTAATTGGAAGTTGCATACATGTGGTATTTCCCAATTTTTCATCTTAACAGATCCTTTTTTATATTATTGAAATGCCTTAAACCAATAAATTCTGTTTCAGGTAGAAATAATTAACACAGAATAGGAAATTATATCTTTAAAATACTATGTAAGTAGTTATTCCAATATATCCCTTGCTGTGTGATTTCCAGGGCTAATTTCAACAAGAGGAAATTGTCTGTATCAATAATTTTAAATAGAATGTCTTAAAATTCGATTGTGGATAAAATGAAGTCTTGTAGATGTGCTTTTCTTTTGAAATTAGTTTCACAGAATTGCGTTCAGTAATCCTCTCTGGGCTTCGTATAGGACAATATTAAATAGTCTGTTTGCAAAGCAAATTTTTATTTTTTTTTAAATCTCAAACTACTCATTCTTCTGGAAATTTAGACGGGAGGACTAACCAAAGGTAGGATTAGAATAGTGGAACCCATTTCTTCTCTACCTTTGGTGATAGTCACCAAATAGACATATTGTTTCAAATCACTGTAAGGCACTGAGAACTGTGAGGTACTAGAGATGTACTCAGTGCAAGGGACAGTTACAGTTTGTGTCATAACACTGAGAAAAGAACGGAATAGCAGTTCTATTATTCTAATTCGTATTGTTCTAATATGCTGGTCACCAGTGGAGGAATTCCTATTGTGTACTGCTAAAAATTTTGGGGCTTTTTGGAGTTCAAATAAAAATCAATTTGTGACTGTTTGTTTGCTGTTTGTTTGAACTGTTTGCAGCATCTTGTTCATTCTTTGTCTTTCTTGATGACATTTTTCTTCAATATTAAGGCTTTCCTGAAAAGACTGGAAGCAGTGAAACCAACAGCTGGTATGAGGCGTTCTGAACAACTGAGGGACTATCACCGCCAGATGAGCTACCTGACTTCTTCACCTTCTGTAAGAAGGGGTAAATCTCCTTTTAGCCATCTTAGTCCTCCAAGTAAGTACTTTGAAGTTGCAGATTATTGCATTTCTTTGCATATGGTTATCTTTATATAATTCAGAATTGTGAAGCACTTATTGTTAAGAATAGCAAATATGTTCTTTGTCATCTTTAGATTGATTATGAAATGGAAGTCATCAAAATGATTTTGCTAGTCACCAAAAGTGATTACTATATGCATTGCTTTGTTGTCATCCTAAGTTTCTAATAAATGATCTTGTCAATTGTCTTTTCCAAGAAGTAAAAATCCCTGTAGTAAAGTGTTTTTCATTTTGCCAGTACCCTTTATTGAAAGAGGGGGTACAACAAACCCAATCAAAAATCCCAAAATAACATCAATGAATGTCCAGATTCTCATTTAGAAAACGTAGATCTACTGATAGTAGCATTTTTTTTCTCAGAAACTCTGTGTGTAAGATTTGGAAGTAGGCAACGTATCTCTGTAGAACCATATGTGTCCAGTTGAAGAACCGAAGATGTGAATTTTTTTTCTGATCATTTGTAAACAATTCATAATTAACTCTTTTCAGGTTGTATTCAATTTACTGCGATTTGGTTTGGTTTATTCTGAGAGCTAGTGTTGCAGTACTAACATAACATGAAGTTTTCTGTTGTGCTCAGTGTAAGAATTCTCCCTTTATGTGTTTGTGTGTTAACAGGAGCAACTTCAAGGTCACCCACTGTACAAAGTACACTGAACCAGAAGAATGAAAAGCCCATGTCTGATTCACCCAGTGGGGCATTACAGAGACCTAAATCTACAAATGTTCATGCTGCTTGGTTATAAGTGTGTTCTTTGCGTCACATACTGAGATGATAACTCAAACTTCTATTTTTAATGCTTTTGTAAATTCTGTGTGCAAAAATATTTTCTGCGTTGTTCAGTGATGAAAATGAATTGCATTTAGAGTAATTGCTTATAAAATGGTCTTAAAATGGTATAAAACACTTCTGTCAGTGTTTTCCATGACAGGATGAACTTATGAAAGAGAAGGAGGTATTTAAATGGACAAGTTAAATAGAAATTTAACCATTATTTTAGTCTCAGATCATAAGTGGAGTTTGTATCTATAACACGGCAGGACAGAATTACTGCACTACAGGTGCAAAATGTAAATAAAAATTTTAAAATACTAATAATAATATAAAATAATTCATTAAGCTTATAAGCATATGCTTAATTCCTGGATTGTCTTTGCTTTACATCCTGGCTTTATCTAACAGCCTTCTGAACCTTGTGGGTCATGTTCTTTGACTGAAAGAATCTTCAACAGCAGTGTCAAGAGGTGAAAAGCAGATTGTGTATTCCTCCATGGTGAGCTAGAATACTGAGATGCAGAAGATGATGTTTTGCCACTGTTAAACATTCAGCACCTGGAGTGTGTTTTCTATTCAAGGCTGCATCTCTTCCAGATCAAAATGATTTTGGAAGTTGTACTGAATTTTGGAAGACGTACTGGGATCTTTGCATAGGAAAGAAGCATCTGATATTATCTGAACAACAATAAAGAATGAAGTAAACAGCAGTTTCAGATTTATTGTAAACAAGAGTAAGTTCTGGTTACTTATCAAACTAGAGAATACTGTTAAGTAAGGGAAATAGTTCATGGCCCTGCTTTGCAGATGTGTGCTGTTCTCAGTGGGGAGATGTAAACTTGAGTTGCAGGAAACATCTTCAATATTGATTTTGAGTGACTACTAACCAGGATTTAGGGGAAAAAAAAGACAGTAGAAAACCAAGTCTTTTAACTTTTCTTGACCTGTTTTTAAATGTCATGTTCATATCTAGCATTTGTAGCAATGTCAGATAAGCTCCAATAGCAACATCCATTTATAAGAGCAGTAAAATTTAATGGTATTGGCAATCACAATAGTAGGTGGTGTAGTTTATCTCTGTCCGTAAAGGCAAACTTTCAGTGAGCTTGTTTTGTAGGACTGTAGCCTTATAAACAGCACAAATTGTGATGCCACTATGTGTGGATATTGCTGAAACTTTGCTTGCTTCCCCAGCTTCTTCCCAGGAAGGAAATAGCTGTATTATGGATAAAGAAAAAAAGCTGTATTTGGTAATGCTGGGTCTTTGACATAAAAAGTGTATTATTCTTTGCTAGTGCTTGCATGAGGGCTTAGGCTTTCAGGTATTCTGCATTGTAACACACTTTTTACTCGGTCCTTGTGATAGTTTGGCAGAGCTTCTTCACTTGGTGACCCGCAGATCAAATTTAGCTGTTTGACAATACTTGGAACTTTTAACTTTAAGCAGCATTGTGAAAAACAGATTTGTATTGCAATTATTATTCATGGTTAGGAACTGTTAACGATTTCTTTGTATAGTGCTGCTGTATTTATTATTGTGCAAATTAAAATTATTCTCTATTTAAAGATTTTTGTCTTTGAATGTGAATATCAGAGTAACAGTTTAATACTTCTGAATGTTCATATTGTAATTTTTTTCTGTGAAGAAACTCACACAATGGATTACTTTTAATTGCTTCATCTTATTTAACTTTGGTATGAAAGAGCGTCAATTTTGTATTTGTAAATCATAAGAAATAAAATATTTAACATGAATTGTGATTGCAGTGGCTTCTTGCAGATTTTTATAATTGATATTAAAGTGCAAAGGTTGAATAGCTTGGGATATAGAAAAAATGCATGTTCTCCATTGTTCAAGTGTTAGATGTAAGGGAATAATGGTTTTGTCCCTGGCTTTAGTTTGTCTGTGACCAGCTCTTGTAAAGGTACAAAAGCAGTAGTATCAGTTGACTGTGACAATGGGAGTTCAAGTAGCAATTGCAGACCATCTCCTAAGTCTTCTAATTTCTAACCTCTCAGAGCTGATGGCTGCAATTTAGGTTACACTTTCAGCAAGTGTTATGCTGAGTGCTACTGACTCAGGGCAGAGCTGCTTTCAGAAGAATGGTTAATTCATTGACAGCTTTGGGCTCTAACCACAGGTCTCTTTATGGAGAGCACTGCCTGCTATCTCCCACAGTGTGCATTGGCTTTTAAGCAGAAACGAGTCCTTTACCTGTGTTTTCCATATGTTTTATCTCGTCTACTTTCTCTTAGCCCAGTGGCATTTTCCTGCGTTGATACTTCTTACTCTCCCTTTTAATAGTCCTTAGTCTCTCTATTTTGCCTCCTTCCCTGGAATGTAACTTCTTTCATTTACACTTATTTGAAGTTTCTTTGCTTCCTTTTAAGTATCTTATTCAGATACACGTTTCCCCCAAGGTTTTTTGCCTCTTCCTATTAGTGTCTCTTTGTGGCCAGCTTAGCAAATCCAAATGCCACTTGCAGCCTTATCAGGGAGTTAAATGAGAACTGGATCGCTAGATTGTGTTAGCAAGCTTCTCATAAGGAACCATTATGAAAGTGCAGAGGAAGGAGAAAAAAGAGAAGGAGCAGAAACTGGCAGTTTTTAAGGAAAACTAATGCACTTTGAAAACCAGTAGAAATATCTTCACAAACTTACGGTTTGATAGATTGCAACTCTGGGTATTTGCTATGGGAAAGAAAACAGACCAGGTATCTAGAAAAGCAAGTATTTAAGAGAGTAACCATGAAAAAGGGAGATGAAAGAAACAATCAGGCCATGTTTTGTCCTGGGACAAAAAATAAAATCTGTATTTGATTAATTTAAAAATAGTCTTATTTTTTGGACCAGTATTTCCCAAATGCTTCTTTTTTTCAAGTGGATAGATGTTGCTTCCAGATAGTGGTTAATAGCTGGTACCCGTCTTCAAGAACAGAGCCGTGGCAGAGAACCAGAGCCTCTCATACCAAGTGACAGTGACTTACCTGTATCTAATAAGTGTTTCAAATATCAGAAAAGAATAACCTGAAGCCATATGTGTGAAGTAGTAAAAGATGAAGGTGAGATAAATGCTTATTTGATTATTACTTGCTTAGTCTTACCCCATTGTCCAGAGACATGGGGGACACCCCAACCGTGGACGTGTCCAAGGCCAGGAACTGAGTCTAGTAGACAGTGTCCCTGCCCATGGCTGGGGGGGTTGGATCTAGATGGACTCTAAGGTCTCTTCCAACACAAACTATGCTCTAATTCTATGGTTTTTGCCCTAGGTGGGTACACAGCAAATGGTTGTCTGTATGTAGTCTAACTGAACAACTGCAATGGCCACACCTCACTTCCCCTCCTTTGCCTAATCAGACAGCCTGTTCTTCCATGCATTCACAACCCTGCAGCATCTAAAGTTTAAAAAGTGTATTGAGCATGTTCTGATCTCACTAGTCATTATTAGTGCAATGTGTGCATAGTCGTTCAACATGTTGTTCTTTTTCTTGAGTATTCAATTCTAGAATAATTTTTCAAGCAATAATAATAATAATAAGCAGTAATGACTACAGTATTCAATGAGGAAAATTTCATTCTTGTTGGAAGTGTCAAAGTTAAGCATAATATAAACAAATTATGCAAGCAGCTAAGACTAGGTGGAAGCTTATCTCTAAGATCTCTGACTGCAGTTCTCTTAAACTGAATCCACTTGGTTTTGCAGTTGTAGAATTATCAATAACATCAATAATTGCACCTACCTAAAGCTCTGTTAAAAAAAACTTTTAAGAGAAACAGCCACTAACAGTGTCTTGCTTAGCACATCACCTTGGAGGACATGCTTGTAATGTGTTCAGTGTACTGAAAACCACAGGAAAAAGTTCATTAATATATTAATTTATTTCATTTCAGTTTTAGTTCAATTGAACATCAGAGCAGACAACTTTTTCCTTTGAGACAATACAGGGAATTTTTGAAACATTATATTTCCATATTATATAAAGTATGTCTGAAAAATCAGATTATGGTTTCAAGCATATTACCATTTAGTTTGTCAGGGAAGAGGCTGGAATTCAGCCTGGTGCTTTAGTATAGTTTATTATTTCAGACATACTTTTTTCACTTTTTATATTAAAAAATAGAGCTTTAGAAGAAAACATGATTTTAATTCATGTTATGTCATCACAGTGTTGGATAGCCAGAGACATTACTTAGTATAATAAATATTTACGACAATCTAGTAGGAATTCACAATAGTAGATTTTAGACTAGGTATAGACCACTTATATTTTGTCTTTAGACAAAATCTATTACCTGCAATTTGAAGTATAATATATACACAGGTTCCAATACAAATGGTGGAAGAATTCTCATAGAAAATGTAACTGTGATGTTGTGGACAATTTTTAAATAAATGCATCCTTATCTCTGCCAGATATGTTACTCAAATTTTATTCTGTTTCCCTAGGAAATATTTTGTTGTCCATTACATCACAAGTTGGTATTTTTTAAAAAGTTGATTGAGAACAATTGAACTACAGCATTATGATGTTAAGTTTTAGACATACTTCTTGATTTCATCATAAAGTACTAGTACAAAAGCTCCGCCCATGCCTCTCAACACATTCGACCAGGCACCTTTGAAGAACGCTTTGGATCCTTCATCTTTAGCTATCTTCCTCCAGCAATCAATTGTGCCCTTATACATAATATCAGCTGTGGAAATAAACATAAAGGTTAGAAGGGTTGAAGTTATACAGCAAGTATGTTTCAACTGTTGTATCTTTAAAACAACAAGGAATAAGCAAAGTACAGCTGAGGATTTCTAACTTAGTAATCAATTAAGGAAAATTAATCCTCCATAGGAAATCAAGTAATTTCTCAGTCCTTTAGATCAACATGATAGAAATAACCAGCAATGTGTTCCCCGTAAGCGTAAGGACTCCAATGAGAAGGTTATTAATTTTCCACAAGACAAAAAAAAATACACAGTATCTCTTATCTTATCCTGATGAAACTTTCTGCAGCCAGAACACCACAGGAGCACTTACCTCCCTTTCGGCCAGACTGCATCATCATCCTACGTCGCACAGTATCAAAAGGATAAGAAACCAGCCCTGCCACTGCAGTGACACTCTGGGCAATCATCCAGCTCACTACGATGTGCACATTCTTTGGATCAGGCAACATACCTGTCATCAAGAACAAATGAACGGAATAAGTACACAGGGAAAGGGCTGTGGGAAACATGGCTGTGGAAGGAATAATCACCCACCAACCTCTGAATCAATACAAACCCAAGGCTTTTCAGAGCAGCAAGTAGAAGGAGGCAGGAATGCATGTCAGAAACACCTGTGTGCATTCTAGCACTACGCTCAACTGGTGCTGAGCCAAGCCCTGCTTGCCCTTGTCCTGCCAAGTGCCCTAGAGTGCCTTTACTGAATGGATCTTCCCTTGCAGTCACTCCTCCATGCACTTCTTACCCTTGGCCGTGTCGTATACACCAAAATAGGCTGCTCTGTAGATGATGATGCCCTGGACAGACACACTAAATCCTTGGTACAGGCCCCTCAAGCCATCAGACTTAAAGATCTTGACAATACAGTCGCCCAGGCCAGAGAACTCTCTCTCGGCGGCTCCTTTGCCCACGTCAGCCGCCAGTCGGGTCCTGGCGAAATCCAGAGGGTAGACGAAGCAGAGGGAGGTGGCTCCCGCAGCACCCCCAGACGCAAGGTTCCCTGCGAAGTAGCGCCAGAACTGCTTGTGCCTGTCCACTCCGCCCAGGAAGATCTGCTTGTACTTGTCCTTGAAGGCGAAGTTAAGGGCCTGGGTGGGGAAGTACCGGATGACATTGGCCAAGTTGCCTCTCCAGAAGGAGGCGATGCCCTGCTCCTTGGGGATGCGGACTATGCAGTCCACGATGCCCTTGTACTGCTTATCGGCCGTGATCTGTTTGCTGGCATGCTGGACCTGCAGGGAGGAGAAGGACGGCACGGTGAGAGACGGGCACCGCAGGGGTGACCCCGCAAGCTGAAGGGCACGGACGGGGCCGGCCCTGCTCCCGCCACCGCGAGGCGCTGCCGAACGTCCCGGGCAGCTCCCCCGTAACCGGAGCCGGCAGAGCTCCTTCCCATATTTAGTCACGCCGAGCAGCGCCCGCGGCGCCAGCACCACCTGTGGCACGGCACCGCCGCCCCCCGTCGCCCCCTCACCTGCAGCAGCAACTTCACTCTCTCGATGGGGGCGACAGCCGTCTTGGAGACGGCGGCGGCGATCCCGCCGGCCAGAAAGTCCTTGACGAAGCTGAGCGCTTGGTCACCCATGCCGCGAGCCGGTCCGACAGCCCCGCCCGGAGAGAGGCAACGAGCGGACACTTCCCCACCCCGCCGGACAAATGTGCCCGCGCCCCGCGCCGCCCCGCTTATAGCCCGCGGCCTCTCGCGATAGGAGGAGGCGCCCCCCCGGGCCGCGGGCATTGGCTGCGGCCCGCCGGGCCCGCCCCGCCATGTTCCCCCGAGCGGCGGCCGCGACGGACGCGGGGCCCGGGACGTTTAAAGGGCAAATTAAAGTTATCTTGTGCCTGCTGGGGAACGCGGTGTCAGAGCATGTGCCGGCTGTATTTATAGCTCCCGGGAGGTACCGGGAATATGGGGAGCTGGCAGGAGCTTCAGGCCGTGTTAACCGTTCCGAGCAGAGGAGAGGCAGCGGCTCAGGGCTAAAAGCCTGCCCGGAGCGGTCTGAGGGTGCGAGCAGCCGGCTGAGAGTGCTT